AGTGTCATGCTGGGCACTGGTGCCTCATGCCTGTGATCCTAACTACACAGGAGGCTGAGATCTGAAGATTGCAGTTCAAAGCCAGCCCAGACAAAATAGTCCATGAGACTCTTATTTCCAATTAACCACCAGAAAATCGGAAGTGGCACTGTGGCTCAAGTGGTAAAGCCCTTGAGCTAAAGAGCTCAGGGACAGCACCCAGGCCTAGAATTCAAGCCCCATGACCAACAAAAAACCAAAACAAACAAAAAACAGTGTCCCTGCCCAAAAGGGGGGATGATAGATCCGGCTCAGTGTGGTAAAGCACCTGCCTAGTAAAGGCCCTAAGTTCAAACCCCAGTACTAAAGAAAGGGAAAGGGAGTGAGAGAGAAAGAGACAGAGAAGGAGAAAGAAAGGAAAAAGAGAGAGAACAGGAGAGATTGCCAGGAACATATAGAGTAAGTGGGAGAATCCTAGAGCAACTCTTTGTATCAAGACTAACAGGAATGTTACCAAGAGACTACTGCTAGCCTACAGAGACAAAGGCTTATTAACACTGTTGAGGAATAAAAGTTTGTAAGCCACATCTGTATGACTTGAAAACTGATTCTCTTTCACATCCACCCTCACTTTCTATTTTTCCCAATCGACTTGCTCTCTCTCTCACTTCCACATCTCTGTTGCTATTTTAGATGGGACACTCACATCAACCTTCCAACTGGGAACTCCTATTATATTCTTTGAAACTTTTTAATCACTCACATAATGCATGTAACTATCTATTAATGGCAAATCCTTAAAGTTAGCCTAGATATTCTTCATAATTCTAAACATCATGTTTTAATATGAGATATACTTCATGAACTTAATAGCTTTCCCACAGACTATATAGTTTCCAAGTAGTAGAAATCACATCTTTCATACTTGTGCTCTTGACAATTAGTATTCAATTAGTATAATAAAATACCTTCCAGGGGCTGGGAAGGTGGTTCAGTGGTAGAGCCCTTGCCTTGCATGCATGAGGCCATGGGTTCGATCCCTCAGCACCACATAAGCAAAAAGAAAAAAGCCAGAAGTGGCTCTGTGGCTCAAGTGGTAGAGAGCTAGCCTTGAGCTGAAGAGCTGAGGGACAGTACCCATGCCCAGAGTTCAGGCCCCACAACCGGATCCCAAAAATAATAATAAAATAAAATACCTTCCAAAAGAATACCAGAAAGGGTATTCCTAATTTTTCATTATTAATCATCATATCACAGATTTTAGGCACTTTTATTTAGTTTAGAATCTAGTGAATACTGCATTAAATCTCTTAACTATCTGATGAGTGCTCTCCAGTCTTCCCTAAAAGTTCTTATGAGCTGAGTTCACCACTTACTATTTCTGTATTCTCTTTAGCACCTAATGGTTGTACATATGTTAAGTACTCAATAAATACTTGATGAACTGAATTAAAAACACAGTATTAGCACATTAATAAGAGTAACATATCATGTACTACTGATCTAATTAAAAGATCTGGCCTTCTGAAGTAGTTCAATTGTACCCATATGGAAAATTTAATAAGAAAAAGAAAAATTACCCAATTGGACAATTAGCAGTGTTCTCTTAACAAGAGATTCACAATATTTTATGGACAATAAGCTCAGAGGAAAGGACTCACGGTGTATATGCCTGTGTATATCAGATAGAAGAGAACATATTTAAGGGGTTGGTCACAAATACAACTCACTTAAATGCTACTAATCCTCTAAAGTCCATAAAAAGCCAGGCACCAGTGGCTTACACTTGTAATCCTAGCTATGAGGAGGCTGAGATCTAAGGATCATAATTTGAAGCTAGCTGGGGCAGGAAGGTCCAAGAGACTCTTATCTCCAATTACCAACCAGAAAACTAGAAGTGCACCAATGGCTCAAAGTGGTAGGGTACTAGCCTTAAGGAAAAAACCTCAGGGACAGTGCCCAGGCCCTGAGTTCAAGCCTTATGACCAACCAAAAAAAAGTCCATAATAGAAGTACAAGGCATAGTACTAAGTAGCAAATTTACCTATGTTAGAGATGTTTAGTTATCTTTGTATAGTATTTAGTACAGCAGTCAATTATTCATATAACACATTTATAAAATGGCTATTAATGACAAGTTCAATGTTCGGTCCTCAGAGTACAAAGATCAAGAGAATACAATTTCTTTGGTGATAAACTTTTAGCTCTGCCATGTTGCAATGATCCTGAGGAATATAATTGAAATCATACCCTCTAACATAGAGGCCTTGGGGGCTGGCAGTCTGGTATGGAAGGAAGATAAACATATCCACAAGTGGTAAGTGCTAACACAGAAATAAATGTAAGCTGTTGGGCTAGAAGCAGGGCCCAGCAACAGAGCACCTACCTCACAAGTATGAGGGATGATTTCAAAGAACTGTGCCTCCCTCCAAAATAAACAAGCCACAGGAAACAAGTAACATAGCAGAAGAAATTAGGCAAAGATATAAAAAAAATTGACATCAATACATGAATTCAGTGATAGCTGAGGTATGAGAAGCTACTAAAAGACATCAGGACAGATAGTTACAATTAGTGTAGAGGGTCCTAAACCAAGCCATTCAACTTAAAACAAACCATTACAGAAAAAATAACCATCAAAGCCAGAAAATAATACACCTTGTCATTACAGTTGGGCATAATAAAACATACAGAACACTAAAAATAAATAAATAAACTGCTGCGTGTTATAACATGAAGGGAATCTTCTAAAGAATATGTAGCCAGGCACTGGTGACACACATCTGTAATCTTAGCTACTCAGGAGTCTGAGATCTGAGAACTGAGGTTCGAAATCAGCCAGGCAAGAAAAGTCTGTGGAGACTTTTATCTCCAACTAACCACCAAAAAGCCAGAGAAATGGAGCTGTGGCTCTACTGGTGGAATGTTAGCCTTCAGCAAAAAAGTTGAGTATTCGCCTGGACAGTGCCCAAACCTAGAGTTCAAGCCCCCACAACTGACAAAAAAGAAGAAAGAAAAAAGAAAGAAAATTAAATAATACATAGTGTAAAAGTTTGAAGAAACCTTAATAAAAAGGATAATTAAAACTTGTTGGTGTTGAGAGGAATTGCAAGAAGAGTGCATATTCTGAGAGACGCTAATGTTAACAAAAGCAGGGATCTACAGTGCATCTATGGGATGGGGAGGGGCCCAAAGGCTCACCCTGGGAAGAGGGGGGAGGGGCTGGATACAAGTGAAGGCCTGACTTGAAGCAGCATGTGACAGCGTGGGACAATCCTAGCAATGTGGACTCTGGTCTAGAATTATGGTAGTTTTTAGTCCTGGCTGCTGAACAGAAAACATTAAAAGGTATGTGGTTGGTCACTCTCCTTTCCATATTAATCTCAGGGGGAAATGGTCTGGGCATTAAAATATAGACACATACAAGGTGATCCTAATGGTCACTTTAATATCCACTGGGCTAGACAACAGACAGTAAAACATGAGATCTGGTTATGATCTAAGCTTGATTTAAGTCCTTGTTTATAAGCAACAATTCCGAGCTGATTACCTATAGAAGCTTACCTTTTAGCCTGAGTTAAACATTCTCAGTCTTCTTAATGTTTGTTTTACTTTGCTGATAGGCTAACTCTGAAAATAAGTAAATAACCCTCAACTTCTCATACATGACTAGCTCACTCACGACTCGGTCTACAACTTTGTAATTTTACTTCTGTGACGTTCCACAGACAACCTAGAAAATAACTATGCCAAATCTAAACTGTCTGGCTATCCCTGCAATGCAGTGCTGTCTGTGGGGTGTGTAAATGTTAGTGCTCTGTGTGTGTGTGTGTTCCGAGGCTTGAAATGAGAGCCTGGTCACCGTCCCCTGTGCTTTTTGGCTCAAGACTAGCACTCTACCACTAGAGACACAAGTGGTATAGTTAGTACTTGTAATTAGAGATTAACCAATTGGTGGTTAACTGGAGATAAGAGCCTCACAGACTTCTCTGCCTAGGCTGCCTCTGAACCATAATTCTCAGATCTCAGCCTCCTGAGTAAGTAGGATTATAGGCATGATCCAGTAGAGCGCCAGTTTTGAGCAAAAAAGCTAAGGGAACCCAGGCCCTGGGTTCAAGGACTAGTACTGGCACACACACACAAATGGAAAGAAATAAATACTAACATAAAACCTGTGCATTGTTTATAAGCAAACAGCTATCTTCTTTACCTGCATTGTTGACCCCAACTTTCTTTTGTATGTGCTGTGAGGTCCCCCAATCTCCATAAAGGTAAGAATGTTATCCGACTTGTTTTACTTAGGATTTGCCATTAGGTTTGCAGGCTCCTTCCCAGATTCAGAGCACACATGTAAAGTCAAAGGTAAATGAAGAAAAGCCAGGGAGCCGGTTCCAACGAGAAGGGGGTGACGCGGGGTGAGGGACCGTGCACCCTGCACCAGAGCGGGCGAACGCTCGGGCTTCCTCAGCAAGCGTGGACGCAGACTCCACGAGTTGGCCGGGAGCTTGCTCCACTCCCCCTTCAGAACGCCAAACGACACCCCGGCGTCTAAACAGAGCCCGCCAGCCTCGGCCGCGGGGAGGGAGAGTTGGAGCAGAGCCGCCGGACTTGGAAAGAGCGGGTCCGCAGGCGAGTCGGGGCGCCGGGCAGGGTGCGCGGGGTGGCCAAGGCCGCGCGGCGTGGGGCTGGCTGCCCGGCCCTTTATGTGCCCAGGACCTCCCGGGGCCTCCCCCGTCCCGCGCGCGTCACCCGCCCCCCACGCCCCGCTCCTCACCACGGGCCTGGCACACCGGGGCCGCGGGGAGGTCGGGGAGGTGAGGGGTGCGTGCGCCGCCGGCGCCCACACCGGGCCAACTAGAATGGGGTCCCAGGAAGGAGGCACGCCGGGCTGAGCCCTCGCCGCCCCGAGCACGAAGGGGGTGGGTGGAGCCGAGCCCGGGGCCGCCCCCCGGAGCCGCCCCCGCCGCCCCGGCCCCCGCCCCGGCTGTCAGCGCCCCCTCCCCCGCTCCCACCGCACTCACCCGCCGGCTGCGCGGTCTCGGCCGCCGTGGTGGCCGTGGTGGCGGCCCCCGCCTGGGTCATGATCCCAGGCGGGAAAAGCAGGGGTGTCTGACCACCCCAGTGAACCTCTCGATCCCCAGCCGCCGCCGGCGCCTTCGGGGCTGGGGGAGCGCGGGCCCAGGCCCTCCTCTCCCCCCGCCCCCGCCGCCTCTTCTAGCGGCCACCGCCGCCCCTGCGAGTCCAAGCCCTCAAGGCCGGAGACCCGGCGGCAGCGCGGCCTCAACTTTCCCAGCCCCCCTCCCCCCGCCCCTCCCCAACCCCTCCCGCGGCCGCCCCTCGGCACGCCGACAGCCTACCCTGGGTGCGCCTCCTCCCGCCCCTACCACTCAGATCACCAATCCGGTGCTAGGGAGGCTGCGGTGGCAGCCAATCCGAAGCCAGAATGCAGTTGGGCTAGGCTACAGAGGGCGGGAGCAGGCGGAGAGGAAAAAAACCTAGGAGGGAACGGGCCTCGGGCGGCCCAATGAGGAGGGCCGGGGGGGCCGGAGGTGTGCAAGCTGGGTTGAAGAAACAGGAAATATTCTTAAAGGTAGAGTGACGGGCAGGAAGGAAAGCCAGTAGGTGAACGGGAAAGAGGTGGGCCTGGCTCGTTAAAGGGGACGCCTACAGAACCGGGGAAAGGAGGTGTTCGGGGAAACTTCTTTGTATCCTGCTCACTCTCCTGCCTCTTCGTATCTTTCATTGGGAGTTTGGAAGTGGAGGAAGTTAAGAGAAAGCGCACGGGAGACTTGGGGAGATAAAGAGCTCTTGCTAGTCCAGAAGGCCGGGAAGCAGGCGGGTGGGCATCAGGGTTTGGAGCCTGTCCTCAGCCAGGTCTATTTCACTGGTTGCTGACCTGGTGCCGCTCCAATTCGTAGGCTGTGATCGCAGCCAAGCCACAAAGCATGATGCATGCATGCCTGTACTCAGACGCTGGCTGCGTCCAGAAATGGCCTGTAGAGCTCCTAGCTGAGTGAAGGGAGAGTGCAGAGGTTACGAAGTTGGAGTTACGGAATGGAGAACTGTCTTCCAAGGTGGGTTGGAGCCTTCCCTCGAGCCTTGGTCACGGCTTCTGTTTTTCCTAGTTTGGGTCTGTTTCATAAACCATCCCGTCCTTAAACAGGTATGCTCTGCTTAGCAGTGGTGATAAATTTCCAAGCCCTAAACAACCCAATTTTCGTAAATACATGGGTTATATCGAGAAAATAGACCTTGCACTGGGGAAAAAATAAATAAATAAAAGCAAACAGTAACCCATCTTGTTTGTGCATTTTGAGAAGCAGGTCTCGAATGTTACTTTAAAACTGTCACTAATACGGTCGGAAATTTTGCTTTAATTCTTTGCATCTAAGCCAATGAAGTTTTAATTAGCCTTTGAATGATCTTAACACTCCCCGATCCAAGCTTCAGATAAGACAGTATAACTCAGAACCTTAACAGTAATCACAATAACACGATCATGAAAGAATATAACAAATAAAAGGCAAGTGCAATATCTGTATGTCCAACTGTAAGTAACACTTCCCATTGCGGTAAAAACATAAGGCATTTTGGTTAATCTCAATTTTAGGATATACATTTCTTCAACTACAAGGCACACGTCTAAACTCACACCAAAGTTTTGATGACTTAGAAAACAGATTTTAGAGCTGGGAAGGTGGGTCAGTGGTAGAGTGCTTGCCTTGCATGCATGAGGCCCTGGGTTCAATTCCTCAGCACGCCATATGCAGAAAAAGCCACAAGTGGCGCTGTGGCTCAAGTGGTAGAGTGCTAGCCTTGTCCTGAAGAGCTGAGGGACAGAGCCCAGGCCCATAGTTCAGGCCCCATGACCAACCAAAAAGAAAACATTTTTAAAGAGTGCTGTTAACCAGTTAAAAATATACATTAGCTAGGACCCAGGTCGTAACTCACACCTGTAATCGTAGCTACTCTGCATTAGAAGCCAACTATAGTAGGAAAGTCCAGTGACACTCTTACCTCCAATTAACCACCAAAACCAAAAAAACCCCAGAAGTTATACAAGTCATAGAATGCTAGCCTTGAGCAAAAAACGCTCACGGCCTGAGTTCTAGCCCAGGGATCCCCTCTATATACATTTATATGTATATATATATGCATATATACACATTAATAAATTCTGTCACTTATAAGTGAAAGATCTATTTTAATAAAGATCAGAATAAAAGTTTAGAAATTTAATTTTCATTTCCCAACTGGAAGTAGATTAACCCACAACATCTACATTTGGAAAATGTTCTGGACATATGCATACCCTTATGAGACCATTTCTACAATAAGAAAATGAACATATACATCTTTCACCCCCAAATTTCCTCCCGACTCCTAATTCATTCCTTTTTCCTGTGCTTGTCCTGTTCCCCAGGTAGCCACTAATCTACTTTCTATCACAATGCATTAGTTTTTGTTTTCTAGTGTTATACAGATGCAATTATTCAATGCATACTCATCTATTTGAACTTCCTAAATCGTTGTTTGGATCAATAAATTATTAGCTTTAGTTGCTGAGTAGTATTCCATTGTATGGCTACTTCATATATATATATATATATTCATTTGTTGGATAACTATAACCAATGAAGATGTTACACATATTCATGGATAATCTTAGTACATATATTTGCTTTTATTTTCTTTGGGTTACACTTTGAATATCCATTACAATGGCTGACTTATATGGTTGGATATGTATTTGGGGGGGAGGGGAACGATGCTTTTGCAGTTGTATCCTTCTATATTCCCTCACAAGTATTTGCAAGTTTCATTTGCTCCATTTTCTTTTCAACCTTGATATGGTGGTTCTTTATAAATTATAGTCTAAAAGGTACATAGGTATTGCATTTCATTGTGTGTTGCCAGTCATGGAGCTGGAACTCAGGGCCTGGGTGCTGCCTCTGAGCTTTTTTGCTCAAGGCTAGTGTTCTACCACTTGAGCCACAGTTCCACTGCATGCTTTTTTGATGGTTACTTAGAGATAAGTCTCATGGACTTTCCTGCTTGGGCTGACTTTAAATTACGATCCAGAGGTGTTGTTATCCTCTTGAGTAGTTAGGATTATAAGCATGAGCCACTGGCACCCAGCTATATTGTGATTTTAATTGAAATTATTTCGTTTGGCAGTACTAGGGTTTGAACTCAGGGCCTTGTGCTTGCTAGGCTGACATACTGAACCATGCTTCCAAACGTTTTTGCGGGTTATTCTTAGGATAGGACATTATTTCCTGTTCAGACATACTATACATGAGCCACAGTCCACCTATTTTTAGGCTTCTGGTGGAAGTTGGGAGATCACAAGTGTGTATCACATGGAGTCTTGGTGACTTTTTCCATAGGCTGGCATGGAACCTGGATCATACCAGGTCACTTGGAAAGGTACATAGTACCTTCAGCCCAACTATTGGCTGAAGTCTCATGAATCTTTCTGCCTGGGCTGAAACCATAGCCCCTATGGTTCTCAGCTTTCCAAATAGCAAGAATAAGTGTGAGCTACTGAAGCCATTTTAATTGACATTTTTGTGCAGACTAATTATGCTGTATGTCATTTCATGTACTTATTTGATAAGATCTACCATGGTTATGTAGGTATTAAGTAGCTTCTTTTGGAAGTGAAGTTCTCTTTAATCTTTTTTTTTTTTTTTTGGGTCCGGTTATGGGGCCTGAACTCTGGGCCTGGGAGCTGTCCCTCAGCATTTCAGCTCAAGGCTAGCACTCTACCACTTGAGCCACAGTGCCACTTCCAGCTTTTCTTTTTGCTTATGTGGTGCTGAGGAATCGAACCCAGGGCCTCAGGCATGCAAGGCAAGCGCTCTACCACTGAGCCACCTTCCCGGCCATCTTTAATCTTTTATTTTTATTATTTTTGGAAGTTCTGAGGGATTGAATTCAGGACCTTTATTTGCTAGACAGCTTTCACTTACACCACACCACGTCATGTATTACCCATTTAAACACTTTTAGTGAGGTGTTACTCAACTTTTTGCCTAGTGTAATTAAGCTATTACTGAATTCGTTTTTTTTTTTTTTTTTGATTGCAGTTATGGGGCTTGAACTCAGGGCCTGGGCTGGACTCTGTCCCTGAGCTCTTTTGTTCTACCACTTCAAGCCACAGCACCACTTCCCGGTTTTGAGTGGTTATTTGGAGCCCAGTTTCATGGAAACCTTTTTCTGCCTGGGCTGGCTTTGAACCATGACACTCAGATCTCAGTCTCCTGTGAAATTAGTATTACAGGAGGAAGCCACTGGCTTCCAGCTTCAAGTTTTCTATTCTGATTATAAGCTATACAAATCCTCCTAGGTTTTGTAGGTTTTTTGTTTTTAAATCTTGAAACAGGATCTTGCTGTAGCTCAGGCTGGTCTTGAACTCCCTATACCCCTGCTTCAGCCTCCTGAGTGCTAGGATTGCAAGCATACATTATCACATGTGGATTCATTAAGTGTTCAAATAGTCACTAAAGTGTAACTTCTTAATTTTTAATGGAGGATGCCCTGTGGTGTCAGTCTTCTGTATTTTCTTCGAGGTGTACATTTATTAAGTCTTACTGTGTTGCTGAAGCTAGCCTTGAACTCATGGGTTCCTGCATTCCTCCCACTTCAGTGCCCTAGTGCTACACAAGCATCTGCCATCATGTCTAGCCATGGTGGATTGTAAGTTAATTGTTGCTTATTGTGAAGGTATGGATCAAAATTCATACTTTGAATTGAGAAAAACAATTCCCAGCATTAATTTTTCAAAGGACAATTTTTTTCTCTAATGAAATGTACCTTATATAAATAAAGATCAAGTGGTCATTTAAGTACAGCTATCTTTCTGTTCAATAGCCTTTAGCTTTTTCTGCCACCCATATTGTCTTTTTGCAGCAGCTTCATGTGTGGAAGCAGTTTGAGTGCTTAATTGCATGTCTTTACAGAATTAAGCATTGTAAGTTAAAAAAAATGCTAGTCAATAAAATTTGGCTACGTCTTTATTATTCTTGTGCCAGTACAGGGGCTTGAACCTACTTCCACTTTCAGCTTTTTGCTGGTTGGAAACAAAAATCTTTTGAACATTCCTGCCCAGGACGGGTTTAAACCTCAATCCTCCAATCTCAGCCTCCTGAGTAGCTAGGATGAATTGGATCTATTTGACTTAGGGAGAAGTGATTCAATATTTTGTCTTGAATTCTGTGAAAATATTCAACTTGTGTCCTAGCAATGCT